TTTTCATTTTTAAAAGACTTGAATGAATACGCCCTCTTCTATTCACATCTCTTGAACTTGGTCAGATGACCACATCTACTTGAGACTGGGAAATGACAGTTAACTCCATCCAGTTAGGTAGTCGTGGGCACAGCTAGAGCTTGTGATTCCATTACTAAAAGATAAGAGAGGCTAGGTGTTGGGAAATGGCTGTCCTTGTATGGGAAAAGAGAGAGGTCACCATTTAACTTCATCATGTACTGTTGAAATTATTTTTACTAGGTGTACATATTGGTCTTAAAGTATTAACAATAAAGAAATGGCTAAAACATTAACTATTTTTAGGTCAGGCAGGCTAAATACCCAAGTATTTAGCTCTTGAAAAGGAAACAGCATAGATGTTGAATTTTTCTTTTTATTTTTTGATTTAAAGTTCTGATTCAAGGGCTGGGGATGCAGCTCAGCAGCACAGTGCCTTCCTGGCAAGGACGAGGCCCTGAGTTCTTCAATTCCTGGTACAAAAAAAAAAAGTTCTAATTCAAAATGGAGAAATAATGCTTGCTTCAGCAGCACATATACAAAATGGGGAAATAATTTCTTATTAAGGAACAGACCAAAACTTCATAGGTAGTTGCACATTAAAAAGTTCCACTATTATAAATTCATAAACTCAATTATTAGAGCTGAAAAAGAACTGTGAGTTCTTTATAGGTAAGTAAACTGAGATTCAAAGAGGTTAAAATAAATGGTACCAAGTCAGAAAGGCAGCAACAGATCCTCAGAATTAGAATCAGATTCTACTGAATCATTGGATATATGTCAACTGATATATTTTTTGAGGCAGAAATTTTGGTGTAATGTTAATGTGCAAATTAAAGAATAAAATGGAATTACAGATTATATATTATAAATTATATCTTAAATGATAATGATATATATTTAAGAATTTGGATTACTTCATTATTTATCTCAAAATGCATTTATTCATCCCAAATAATAATGCAAACAAAGAAGGAGCTCAATTTTCTCATGTTCTGAAAGGTGTAAGTTGACATGGTATGCATAGTAATTTGTGTGTTTTTAAAATGTAAGACTACTCCAAAAGTGAGCTGTGTTTTAAGAGAACTCATAAAATCAAGAAGCACATCAAAGGCAAAAATAGAACACAATTAGAATTTATTTTAGGTATTTATTTCTATACACCCAAGTCAAATTTAAGAGCACAAAAGATTACTTTAAATATAGTATATGCTTCACTAAATATAAGTAAAGATTTAAATTGTATTAATTCAACAAATATTATGTTTACAACAATTATGTAAAAGAGCAGAAATTATTCAAGTGGATGTGATATAGATAATCACTAAAACAAATGGGTTACATTGATTAGAAGATCCTTTTGGTAGTATTGTGGAGGTGGAGGGCATGATACTTTAAAAAGTATATACTATAAAATTAGAATTTAAAGTTTCCATTGTAATCAGAGATAGCGAAAAACCAAAAAAAGTTTAAAAGTCTAAAACAGCTAGTATGATTTGAAAAAATAAAGAAATTTTGTGCTGCCACAACTGGGGAGGTTCTAGCAGATTCAGTGTGCAGAGCCCAAAGGCACTATTACAATTCACAGAAGCACCCTCCACAGCAAATAATTATTTGGCCAAAAATGTCACTAGCGCTGAGGATGAGAAGCCTGAGCCCAAAGTGATTTAATTTAAAACATTAATTTCTTCTCTGATGATGATGCATAAGTTGTATTTTCAAACAAAAAAACAGAACCAAGATTTATACTTAGCATAAAACTGCTATATTATTATGTATTTGTAAAAAATTACTAATGGCAAATTTTGTGTGAACAACTTTAACCCTGTTTAGATAAGGAATGGTTTTCTTCTAAAAATTTTACAGTGGAGACATTTTCTTCATTTTTTCAACAATATTTAACGGGCACTCCACTTTTTAGATGGTCTATGTAAGGTGCTAGAATGAAGAGTCAGTGGCTATGTTAGGGTACACAAGCACATAAATAAAATGACAATCATTGTGACTAATGCTATTATTAGGGAGTGGAATCCAGGGGTAGGACGGAATGATAACTTCTGTAACTGTTTGGAGGATCTGCAGTAAGAAAGAAAACTAAAAGACAGCTTTCCATAGGAACAAAAGCCTGACCTGGATGTTTGTCTCAGAAGGTAGGAGGGCCGTCTGTGCATGTCGCGCTTAGTAAGTGATTTCTACTTTACTAACAGCAAGTTTATCAACGCTTTAAAGATTTAGTTGGAGAAACTATGTTGGCATTTTAGGAAGATCACTCTGAGAACAGCTGGGAAGTGGCCAAGCAAGAGAAAGAGATACTAATTAGGGTCCAGATCCAAAGTGAGGAGGATCTGGAACAGTGTAACACTCCAGTAACAAAGAGGAAGGAGGAAGAGAAGGATTAAAGGATATTAAGAACCAGTATAACCACAGCCAAGACAACACTTTCTGAGCACACTAATGTAAGGGTGTTTCTTCCAGGGCAAGAACTGGGATGAGCTCATGCTGTTAGATGACTTGAAGGTAGATAAAAAATGAATGCCTGGGGCCGAAGATTTAGCTCAGTGGTTCTGGCGCCTGCCTTGCAAGTGCAAGGTCCAGAGTTCGATCCCCAGTACCCCCCGCCCCCCAAAAAATGAAAGCATGAATATTTGTAATACAGAAATCACCACAAACTATATATAACACAATACAAACTTCATTAACAAGTTAATCTTTCTTAAACTTAGTTTTAAAAAACGGACTACAGAATACTTTAAAATACAGATGTTAAGCTTCAATCTGACAACAAAGAGCTTGGAAGTCATCATAATCATCTTTACACCAAGACAGAGCTGAACAAACTGAAAATCATTTTTCTTGGATTCATCAAGGAGTTATGGTCACAGGGGACACCCCCACCCCTTCCCACCCCTAAAACTTAAGAGATAGGCAGATAAGAGAATCACAGCTTTACCAGAAACAGAAAATTGCAGCTGGACATTTTTTTTTTTTTTTGAGACAGGATCTTGCTGTGTAGTTCAGGCTGGTCTTGAACTTACCATCCTGGGATTATAGGCATGTGCCACAACACCTGGCTTCTCCCATGTCTTTTTGAACTTTACCTTTAGGATTTCTATTATGTTCTCCTATAAAGACCAAAGGAAAATCTGCTTCTGGAAGTGGGGGGAGTAAGGTAGCTATTTTGAAATATAGTCAGCATTCTGTTTTTCTTCACAGAACCTGTCCTCAAAGGAAACTAACAGATGAGGGTTTACCAAAGCCCACGCAACCTGGGGGAAGGGAAATACCCAACTCAGGCTCACTAAGACACTGAGACCTAATGATAGAACTAGAAAACATTTCCCTACCACCACATCAATAGGGATAAACTTCAAATACTTCCAGCCTCTAGGAAAACCCCAAAACAATACAACAAACAATAAAGAGCATAGAGGAAACTTCGGACTCTAACAGCACAGAAAGCTCAGCCTAATGGTATAAGCATACAACGTCACACTAGAAGCCAGTTTCTTCTACCTGATATATCTTGTCTTGTTTTAAACAAAAAATGACAAGGCGTGTGAAAAAGCCAGAAGCACAGCCTGAAGAGACAGCAGGCATCAGAACCAGACTCAGAGATGGCACAGTGCTGACATCAGACTAGAAATTTAAAATGATTGATTCATATGGTAAAAATTCTAATAAAAATGGACAATATCCAAGAACAGATGAGTAATGTAAGCACAGAGAAGGAAATTCCCAGAGAAAATGAAATGAGAATAGTACACAAAAAAACCCCTGTAACATAGATGAAGGCCTTTGATAAGGTCATCAATAGACTAGGTACAGCTGAGCAAAGAATCAGTGCACTTGAAGAGAAAATAGAAACTTCCAAAATGGAAATGAAAAGAGAAAAAAGAATTTAAAAAACCAGAATATCCAAGATCTGTGGCTCAATAACCTAAGATGTCAATATGTGTAAAGAAATGCCAGAAGGAAAAGAAAAAAAGGGAACAGAATATTTGAAGTAATAATGACAAAATTGTCCAAAATTAATGACATACACAAAACTAGTTTCAGGACAGATATCCTGTATTTATTGAGCAGGATAAATACACTCAAATATACACCTAGGTATATAATATTCAGACTGTAGAAAATCAGGTCCAGGGCCCGGGATTTAGCTTAGTGGTTCTGGCGCCTGACTTGCAAGTCCAAGGTCCCAAGTTTGATCCCCAGTACCAAAAAGAAAAAAGAACAGAACAGAAAATCAGGTCTTAGAAGAGGCCAGGAGGAGCCAGGTGTGGTGGTGGTGGTTTATGCCTGCAATATCAGCACCGAGGGAGGCTGAGGCAAGAGGATCTTGAATTCAAGTCTCACCTGGGCAACTTAATGATGACCTATCTCAGAATGAAGAGTATAATTGGATTGGGGATGTAGCTTAGTGGCAGAGCATGTCTGGATTCAATCCTCAGTACCTGGTTGGGGTAAAGGGAAGCAGGAATATAGAGGTGCAAGATAAGAATTACATTTGACCTCAGAAATCATGTGGGCAAGAGGAGAGCAAACTATTTTAAACGTTGTAAGGAGAAGCCACTAACCTAGAATTCTGCATTGTGTTAAGTTATCCTTCGAAAGGAAAGGCAAACAAAAATTGAACAACTATGTCTCAGGCAGACCTACCTTGCAACAAATGTTAAAAGAAGTTCTTCAGAGAGAAGAAAAATCATATCGATCAGAAACTTGGGTCTACAAAATGTAATGAGGAGCATTAGAGAAGGAACAGATGAAGGTAAATGTTTTACTCTTCATCTTCTTTATTGATTTAACAGATAATTTGTTCAAAATAATAACAGCAACAATGTATTTGGTAATTAGAACTTATGGGTCAGAGAAATGAATGGGAATACTCTGTTTTAAGATACGTGTATTACCCATGAAGAGCTGTAGTGTTATTTTGAAGTGGAATTTTATTAGTTGTAATATATTTGCAGACTCTGGGGCAATCAGTAAGAAAATCTGAAAAAGAAATATAATTGATATGTAAGAGAGGAGAGAAATAGAACCACATGGACTACTGAGTTAAAACCAGAGAAGGGAGAACAAGAGTGGGAGAAAAGAAAATTCATGACCACTGAAGTTTAGGGATACTGTGGAGGCACCAAAAACCACAGGGTTTCAGTGATTTTTAAAATTGCAAGTGTTCAAAAACCACTATTTTAGGGGGAAAGATGATCTTTGAAGTATGTCTCTTGAGACTTTCCCATTTAAAGCATCTAACTCCTTAGAGAATTTGGAATGCAGTTTCAACTCTGAAAACATCTTCTGGGATGGTGTAAGACTGTTGTCCGAGCTGGTAGTTTGAGTCTTAGTCCTCACAGCTCCTGAATCATGAGCCCCATGGATGATTCCATGGTCATTCCTTACAGATTTCCCTTTCCCTCCAGGATTGAGTGTAGCAAGGCCTGAGTCTAGGTTCTCTTTGCTGTAAATGTACCCTTTGTGGCACAAGAGAGGGCTTTGACCTCTCGTGCACTTTTCTTACTACCCTAACAGTTTATCTCAGAGTGGTTCCTGCATCTCCTGCTTCAGTATCCCCTGGGTGTCCGTGAAGGATGTGATTCCCTGGTCCTGCTCGAGAACTACTGAGTTGGACCCTTGGGCAGTGGGCCCAGGAGCCTGCATTGCTCACTCATGTCACCTATGAGTCGTAAGTGCCCTACAGTGTGAGAACCACTATTTTACTATCATTTCTTTACAGCTGAAATGGATGGGAAAGGCTCCTCCCTCTTCTCTTTGGGTCAGTTTAATGCTAGGAATATTCATGCCTCCTAATCAGCTGAATATCTGCTAACAAAATACTTTTGGAGTAAATGCTCAAAGAATATTTGTTGAAAGATGACCTCATAAGCATAACATGCTTCTTTAGGGATATATAATAAGCAAAATATTTTGATTCTTCTAACTTAGAGAGTAGGCATTTTATTCTAAGGTTTAAAAAAAGTTAAAATCATGTGTACAGAATAGCTGTAACCTTAATATATGGAAGCAAAGCAAGCCAAACTTTATTTAGATGTTACACTTGCTCTCATGCAGACCATCAAAATCAGTTACTTGAGCTTCTCCTGTTGGTTAAATTTGATTTAAAGAATTCCTGCAAAGAAAAAAAATAAATGAATGAAAACATAAGCATTTATAGAAAATATAAATCCAAAACAACAGTGACAAGGACTTACACTGGGTTGTCATAAAAATCAAAAAAGTGATGTCCCTAAAGTATATGGAAAAATGTTTAAGTGCTTTTCAGTTTTGTTTTGGTTGAGTTCTACTGTATTTGAATATTATTGTAGTTTTCTTCCCCTTGCATTGTTCTTCTTTGAATGGTTTTAATTTCTGTATGTGTGTGTGTTTGATACTAAAGTTATTTTTAAATAAAAAAAAGTGATGTCCTAAATGTTGGGAGCACTATGAGGGTGGCCTAAGTGGTGGGAACACTTGCAGGAGGGGAGGTGTCTAGCGTAAACTAGCACAGAAAAAAGATCAGGCTAAGAACAGAGGCCTATTCATCAAAGCTTCCCCAAGAATCAGAAAATTAGGATTCTGGGAAACCAAATAGCTAATCTGCAAGATTAAAGAGAACAGGAAGGGGAATTTCAACTAGCTTTGAGACTCTGTGCTGGAAGTCAGGTACGATGGCACAGGCCTATAATGCTAGCACTTGGGAGGCTAACGCAGAAATCTCCGTGACTTCAAGGCCAGTGTGAACTACATAGTGAGAGCCTGTCTCAAAAACCAAGAAAGAAGGAAAGAAAGAAAGAAAGAAAGAAAGAAAGAAAGAAAGAAAGAAAGAAAGAATGAATGAATGAATCTGGTCAATGGCTTACACATCTGCTAAATATACTACCAGTATCCTTTGTCAAGGCTGTATCCTATCAAACTGTGTAAGGATGTCAATATTGGTATGGGAGAAGGGCCCCCACTTGATTTTCAGATCCTTCTTATATTTCTCACTTTAAAAGCCTGGGGAAAGCTCTAGCCCATTCTTCCTTATGTGTTCTTTGTGAAAGAGAAAGACTGCTAAGGAGTAAATAGAAGCAACCAATGGCCCCCCTAGAGAGGCATTTGTACTTCTCAGGAGACCGTGCCACTCAGGAGGAAGACAAGATGTTCTGTTCATCAATCTGTTCGTGGGGCATGGATGCCTGTGGGGTGTAGGCATGTGCTTTGGTTGAGATGTATGCAGGTGTGTTGTGTTAAAGGGACCTGGTGAGATCGATCCAGTGTCAGACTAGGACTCACCTTGCACCTACTGGCAGCAGGATGTAAACACAGACACAAATGCTGTCACCACTCTGGAAAAGAGAAGCAGTGTTAGGTGCATCATTTAATCTTCCCTCCTTGGCAAGGAGAGACACCACAGACAGGGACAGACAGGACACACACACACAGTGACATCCTCCTAACTTGGGGGTCAGGAAGATGCTGGAAACTCACTCTGGATGCTTTGGGTAGACAAATTTTTCTTCAAAGACATAACTGAGCCAGAAGACTTAAAAAAATGTGTAAAAGATGGTGTGCCTGCACAAAAGTGAGAGAAATAAGAAAAACAGTGAAACAATCATTGGCAAATTTCTCTAAAATTCATCTATGATAGACGATAACAAAGTAACTGCAAACAAAAAGCAAAAATTACCTGTCAGCAACTTTCTTTCTAGTTCTTGGATTTTCAGAAGAATTCTTTCCTGTTCTAAGGCTTCTATGTACTTTGAGTAGCACCAGGTTGGCTGGAAAAATAATTTTCAAAGTTGATTCTGGAAATTTTTGCCTACAAAAGTATGCAGCGTGATCAAAATATATGGTGAATGTTAAAATAAAACATTTTATTACAGTAAAAGACACATCGTCATTACTCCTCAAAATTCTCCCTCTTGCTTCAAACACATTTATCCCATTGTTCTTTCCACTTTCTGAAGCAGTTCTGGAAGTCTTCTTGTATGTCTTTAGGCAGCGTGACCAAAAAATAGGATGAGTGCTGCTGCCTAGTGTCATCCAACAGAAAGTAAAAACATTACCCTGTGTCCTCGCCCAACTTATCCAGTGGATCTGGTACCATGAGACTTCTAGCTCCTCCCCAAAGTCAAAATGACTATGAAATGTTTTAAAACGTAAAATTTTTTAAATTGATTCAGGATGTTCTCTGAAGGCTCAAGGACATTCTGTTTCAACCCTTCCTAGCATTATAATTTTAGCCCCGTTTTCAAACACACCTCTCGTTCTGCCCAGTGACTGAGTTACTGTGTCCCACTACTTAGCGCTCAGCAGAGGAAGGGACCCCTGTGGCTGCTTGCTGCTTACCTGTCGGCCATATGCTTGCAGGCCTAGCAGGGATTCACTGGTTAAAGCAGGTGTTTTTGTAGTAGACCCTGTAGTACTTGCATATTGTTTGATTGCAACCTGTAATTATATTAAATTAAATTATTGAGAAAAAGGATATTGCTATGGTAATATCAGTTAAGAAGTCATAACATCATATAAAAAAAGTTTCATGGTATACTTGAGATTTCACCAAGTGACTGTCCCTTTGATCTTTAATTTTCTTTCATATAATATAAAAATATTTTAAAATGAGTGAAATAAATGATGAAGCTGAATGCAAAAATCACTCCCAAATTTAGCATACAAAAAAATCACTATAAACATTTTCATAAACATCCATCTAGACCTCTCACTACAGAAAATGCATAAATAATTATGATCTCTAAATTTTAGTATTTCCATTTTATTTAATACATTTTTTTTCTTTTTGGGGGGGGAGGGGGTAGTGGGGATTGAACTCAGGACTTTGCGCTTACGGGGCAGAAACTGCGCCACTGAGCTACATCCCCGTATTTAATAAATTTTATACAAATGGAACCAAACTATATGTGCTCTTTTTAATGGAAAGTATGAGGTGAAAATGTTCCTATGTGAAGAAATACAGGACTGGAATGTATGCTGGGCCTTTGTATTATTTGCCATAATATGTTTATTTGTAGAACAGTGTCTGTCACATATGACACACTCAAATATTTGTTGAGTGATGAAGTGAATAAATTACATCACCATTTTCAACAGCTGAATGGTCTTATGCACTTAAATACTTGTTGAATGATACAGTGAATAAACCAAATCATCATTTTCAACATGAGAGTGTGGGATATGCCAGAGATAACTTAATGCCTCCTACTAGAAATTTAAGTCATTTCCAACTTTGTACTATTATAAGTGATGCTGTACACATACATTTTATACATTTTTATGACTCTCTTCTTCAGAATAAGCTCCTAGAGGTGCATTTGCTGATTTTAAAAGAATGAGCATTTTAAACAATACCTGTCTGACTACTCTCAAAAAGTACCATTTAGACTGTCTCCAGCAATGTACCGATTTGTATGCTTTTTCATCATACCAACATTGAATATTGCCAATATTTTCTTTGTTGTCAGTATTCATATCTTTGGTTACTGGTGAAGTTGAACATCTTTTAATGCTTTTACTCGTTAGTGTTTCTTTTATGAATTGCCTGTTAAATGATCTTTGCCCAAATTTCTGTTATGAATATGTATCTTTTCTCTGATTTATTTATTTATTTATTTATTTATTATTTTTTGGTACCAGGGATCGAACTCGGGTCCTTGCGCTTGCAAGGCAAGCGACGGAACCACTGAGTTAAATCCCTGGCCCTCTGATTTATTTTTATAACTTACATCATACATTATATTTCCCAATATATCTTATAACCTGGTTTATTTTTGCCATTTTTAAGTTTAAAATTTTTACTTAGTTAAATCACTGTGATCCTCTGTTAATGAATTTGACGCTGTTCATTTTAAGTACTTTACCCTAAACTAGACATTAAACTAGGTGAAACTTTTCATGACTTTCTCTTTGTCCTACCATAACTTTCTTCAGGCTACGCAGGTTCAGTTAATTCTTTGATAAAAATAAAAATGAAAGATATATTTGATATTATTTCTTCCCTAAAAAGGACAATTATTGCTACACTATTATTATAATTAACACTTACTTTATGACATGTCGTTTACTTTATTAATCCTACTCTATAATATAAGTTATATTGCTATCTTCATTTTACTGAAAAAAAAATAAAGTTTGGAAAGTGAAGTGGCTTGACTAAGATAACAGGCCTAACAAATGGTAAGGATGGAATTCAAAGCCAGGCATTCTGACTTTAGAGCCTATTCTCCTACCTACTGTGCTATAACTGTCTCAAATGATCAACTGATACCTTACAATTATGTAGTGGAATTGCTCACATATAGTCTTTTATGTATATCAGACCACGTTGATTAATCCTCTGTGAATCATGAGAGAGTAATACTATTACCATTAGTTGATAGATAAAATAGAGGTTCAGAGAGTTAAAAGTCATGCCCATCATCACCTGGGGAAACCTATGCTTTGCAAAGTAACAGAGTTTTTCCAAAGCATGTTTATGTTACAAAAAAATCATGTTTGGGGCTGGAGATTTAGCTTGTGCCATGCCTGCCTCGCAAGCACAAGGTCCTGAGTTCAATCCCTGGTACCAAAAAAAAAAAATCATGTTTCCTATATTCATTTTTTCTATACTCATCCATTCATTTCATGTTACAAAAAAATCACAGGTTTCCTATATTCATTTACTATTCCAGCTCTATTGATAATAAAATTTGGAGGCAAATATCTGCTACTGTATTGGCCTTCCTTACATTTTCCACATTAAAATAAATACAAGTGTGAAATGTGAAGATACTAATAAGTGGTGCCAATATGTTTATTGTATATAATGAGAGTATTTGAAAGTAGCCTGGCATGGCAACATGTATCTGTAGTCCCAGCACTTGGGAGGTTGAGGCGGGAGAATCACTTGAGCCCTAGAAATCTGAGAAGAGCCAGGCAACATAGCAAGATTCACCTCCCCGGGAAGGGGGAGTATGCAGAATGTGAAATCCACAGGGTTACTTTTCAGCTATCAGAAGGGATGCTTTTCAACTGTCAATATTTTGTACCTAACCTTGTTAGTTGTTACCAGTTAACAGATATGGCCAAATGAGAAGGTCAATTAAGGACAATTTTCATTTCCGTAACCAAGTACAAAATGTAAGACAGAAACATCTGGGATTTTCTGGAGAAATGGAGGCAGGCTGGCCAGTTTGTGACCTATACTTACAAATTTCACAATGTTTCATCCTCTAATTTTAATACTGAAAGTGCTGGTACAAATTATTTGTTCATTCATTCATTCAGTCATTCCTTGATTTTAACCAATACACAATGATTAACAATTGAGCATGTCTTGGACGCTAGTATAAGCGCTTATGAAACACGGATGAATAAGGCAGATACTATCTTTGAAGATCTCCATCAGCAAAGACGGCAGATGCACAAACTTAATTACAGGACAATAAAAGTGTGATTTATGAAAAGAAGGACTATAACTGCAACAGATACTGCTTGTGTGGCCTAGGAGAGTCAAGGTGTCACACAGAAGAGACGATATGTGAACTGTAGCCTGAGAGGTTAAAAAACAAGTCTGAAACCTTCAGATGAAGGCTGAAAGGCCCTAAAACCCGTATTCTTTTTTTTGCGTACCGGGGATAGAACTCAGGACCTTGCACTTGTGAGGCAGGCAGTGGCACCACTGAGCTAAATCCCAGGCCCCTAAAATCTGTATTCTATAACTTCTCTGTATATTTCTTAGCCCAATTTCTTCTACAAGTCCATACATATAATGTACGTTTTAAAGTATGATTAAATCCAGAATGAGTATTGTCTTACCTTTCCAATTTTTTCATCATCTATGACTGACAATTTCTTTTTCTGCTTTTCGTATGCTTGTCTTCTCTCTAAAACACTCATAATTTTTTCATCAGTCAAATTCTTCCTAAACTCACAAAATTGTGGCCAAAATTTAAACAGAACCCCCAAAATTGTCATCTGTATAAAAAACAAAGTATGTCTCAGATTACAATTTTATACAAATGTACCGATTTAAACTCTAATTCACCATAATAATGGATTAAGTATTCTATCTTTAATACACACCATGTTTCCTCCAACTTATTGTCTCCAGACTTCTTAGTATAGTTCAGCTCAGCACATGCTTATCATCAATGTTTTTTATTACCAATGAGAAGACCTTCTTTGAAAAGAAAAACATACACCAAATACTTAAAAGTCACTTTATTCTTTGTTTCCCTAACCAATTGATTGTATTAATAAAGAATCCATTAGGTCTTTTTTAAATAAGAAATTTATGTTTTCTTTTAAAACCTATACTAGTTGATCTGCCACACACTCTGCTGTTTTATGCAAGTATTCCAAGTATTCAGTTCATCAAGGGAAACTCCCCCACTCCTTTTTCTTTCTTTTAGAGAAAGGAAATACCACTTTGCCTCTGGAAAAGCTCTTAAACAAAGCTGCAGATCTAAGAATAAATCTCGAGTAACTTTTAAATGATATAATCTCTCTTTTATGCGAGAGCAAGAAAAGTAACATTTAAAAAGCCAAATGATATCCTAGACAAATGCTTTCTATGAGGACACTTTGCATTAAGTGATTAATTGTGATATTTATAGAGATAAGAATAGTTGCTCTAATTCCTATGCCAAGTTTTTCCATTAGTTCCAGAGGTATACATTACTTTCAAGAAGGTAGGACTTGCCACTTCAAATCAAGTCCAACATCTTATGACTAGGAATAGCCTTTACCTAATGCCCTGAAAAACGCTAAACCATCCCATTAGACTCAAAGTCAACTGTTAAGGGAAAAAGTGGAAAATTTTTAAAAGCAAATGCTGCAGTGATCAACAGAGTCCTGAACTGGCATAGTTCATTACTCCTCTTTTCCATACATGAATGTTATTAGTAATTCTAAAATTATTTACTCCTTTTAAGATGCAGTTTTATCACTGGCTCCTATAGCCTCTTGAGAGTGTGATGGTAAAGTCTAGAGATACTTTATTTGATGAAGCAAGCCTTCATGAAATTTTCATTTACATGTACCCACCATTCATTTAATTAAGTCCCCTTTTCCAATGTTAAGGGATCATAATAGTTATTATGAACTTCTTAAGTTTCACTACTACTCCTCCTCTATATTCCAAATATTGGCTCTCCTCAGTTCTGTTTCCAAAATCCAAGCCATCTCCACCTCTCAAGTATTTACATGTGGAAGGCTTAACCCTATTCTGAAATTACCCAATTAGGATACAATGTTTCAATGGAAGGCATAAAAATGCTATATTTCCAAAAGATGAAATTGAGATTTTAGGTTAATATCTGTCACTAATAAATTTGTACCTTTAGAACCTTAAAAGATAACCAAATTGTGGGTAAAAAATATTTTAATAAATATAGAACTACTTTGCTTACTGTCAGCAGATGAAGAATGGTTTTAGTCTGAGTAAAAGGACCAGTAAAAACTTGGCTGAGCGATGAAACTTTAGAGACTACATGAACAATAATGCTAAAGTAGAAAATTTTCATTTACTATTCAGCTCTTTTGCTCAACTTTGCTCTCATTTTCAATGTGATCTTATTCTGATTGGTTATGACAAATGACCATTTAATTCATGGTCATGTGGTTAAAAAAAAAAAGCCAACTCTGTGCCATGTATTTGGGCCACAAAGACAAATAAAAAACATTCCCTGCCCTTCAAAAGCTTACAACCTAAAAAGGAAGTCAGACACAGGGATATACCATTTTTTTTTTTGGTACCAGGGATCGAACTCAGGACCTTGCACTTCCCAGGCAGGCGGCGCGCCACTGAGCTACATTCCTGGCCTGGGACATACCATTTTATATGGTAGGTGTTATGACAGGGATTTAGGAGAGAGAGAGGATTAAGCTCATGAGGGAAGACTTACAGTAAGGGCCACTTCAGCAAGACTGGGGAGAGATGGCAGGGAGATGGAGGAGATGTAGCTGGGCAGGTGTGCAGGGATCAGGATTTCATTTGAGGGCAGTGGAGGGCAAATGGAACATTTTAAGCACAGAAGTGATGTGAGCAGATATGTATTTTGAAAAAGATTGCTCTGGTTGCAGTTAAGCTGAATGAATCGGAGAGAGCCCAGAGGCAGGGAGTTTTGGTAACTGATGGGAGTCCTGTTGCAGATCTGAAGTGAAGCAGTAGGGTACAGTTGGAGAAAAGTGGAATGCATGATAGATAACAAGAGGACAAATGCATACATTTGAAGGACTGTTTAGACATGAGGGTAAGGGAAGAATGTCAAGGAAAGGCATGAAAATGGTAACCTTGAATACCCTGGTAGAAGGGGATGCTATTCTCTAAGCATCCTCAGGAAACCAGGAGGAATAAAGGATTCAGAGGGATCAAGCCCCCAAATAAAGTTTCTGTATTTTCAGATGCTCTGAAGTCCATATCTGTGACTCCATTTTAGGAAATCAGGTAGACCTTGTTGGCTAGAAGCCACCAATAAAGCTCATTGGCTGCAATTCCTGAAGAAGGTAGCAGAACCAACCAATGTCAGAAGCTCCAGGCATCTACCCATTGGACGCAGGCTCTTCAAAATAGATTGGCAAGTCCTGGCCTGGTTTATCAGCACTACTAGGCATGGCTAAATTATTCCTAAGATCTTTTCATTAAAGAGTCTACAATTCTGGCGCAATGTTTTCTCTATTTCTCTCTAGCACATCTTCAATCATACCTCTATATTTTTGCCTGTTTTAATGCATAATTTGGATTGTGAGTCCACTTTGAGTTCCTTGGAGGACTTAGAACACAGCTGGTTCACAAATGAGCGTTAGGGAGTAATGGCCTTTTTCCATGCTCAAGGGCAATCATGTTCTAAATCTCTGTTTCATATCACTTAATTCATGACATGGCCTTCCCTATTACCCCCAGTATAATTTATTTTTCTTAATCATTTTTTAGGAACAACATCACTAAAAGGCTTTTCAAAATGCAAATAAATTATGTTCACCAAGTCAATGTTTTCTATTATTTATCTTAAAAAGAAGTAACTTGAGCAGGTTAACAGCCATGATTTTCCTTTCATGAGTTTGTGTACTTTATGTTGGTTGAGTACTTAAATCTCCTCTCACTTATTTTATGAGCTATGTGAATATTCCAATCTTTAAAAATATACAAATCTTAGGGCACAGATATTTTACACATTTTTGTGGTAGCAGATATTTTAAGAGGAGATATAAATGGTGGGAAACGAAGGCAGCATTAGCCTTCATTAGAAATAAAAATGGTAATCACAGAAAGTCAGTGTATTTTTAATTTTATTTGCTGCATATTATCAACAAAATAACATGCATGTTACTAGTTTTATATGTTGGTGGCAAATGCAAAGATTAAATTATTTTTCAACTTTTTACTTTTTATTAGTGTGTTTCTGATAAATAATAAATACATTCATCATGAGGAATTGGTACATATAGGTATTGCCTCTTAATCCTTTTACTCCCCTTCCTCCATCTTCCCCCATTCCTAGGCCCCTTTCCCATCTCCACAAAGTCGATCTCCCTATTTCCTATCATCTATTTTTCTTTGCTCCTTAAATTATTTATACTTTGGATTTCTCATGTAAGACAAATCATGCAATATTTAACCTTCTGTGTCTGATTTATTTCACTTAGCATTATGGATTCAAAGTTCATCTATTTTCCTACAAATGACTCAAATTTATACTTCTTTATTCTTTCTTTCTTTCTGTCTTTCTTTCTTTCTTTCTTTTTGAGACAGGGTCTCACTACGTGGTACAGGATTGACCTTGAACTCACTATGTAGCCTAGGTTGACCTCAACTCACTGAAATCCTCCTGCTTCATCCTCCCAAGTGCTAGAATGACAGGTGTGCACCACCAGGGCTGGCTTCTCAAGCTTATCCTTCTTTATGGCTGAGTAGTACTCCATTGTGTATATATTCCACATTTTCTTTATCAGTTCTATCTGTTGGTGGGTATATAGACTGCTTCCAAGAAGATAATTTAAATTAATAGAATATATTTTAGTACTGGGAGGATTCAAATCTTACCAAATATAAGTAATGTAAAATCTTTAAAAGAAAATTGAGATTGCCACCAATCTATTTTGAAATATGCTCAGCCACATGACCTGATATCTTACCTGTGCCTCTCTAAATATGTATGGTCCTAACTCCTTCCTGTGTTCAATAATCTTCTGGGCCTGTTCTACTGGAATGTCGATCTGCAAGGCTGGGGGAATACAGGAGTTGATGAAGCAGCTGATTACAGTTGTGATCTTCTTCTGGATGGCAGACTCATCGCAGTGGGAGTGGCACAGATCCTGAGCAGGAAGAAGGGACAGAGTAGAAGGTGACTGCTGCCTCACTTGAACACTATGGAAAGGCGTCACCGCGCTCACCAGTTGGTATGTACATTTAACTGTGGGTTAGGAGGGCACTGGGACATGTCAAGGATATTTTTAAAAAATCACAGCTTTTCTTTCTCTTGGATTTGAGGAAGCTAAGACTCTGCCAAATATGCTTTACACAGACACAGCCTTCTTTTAATCCTGATCTCTTGTTTCTCTAGGCCAAGGGAAAACAACTCTAGTGCCCACTTTTACTCATTTAACAAGTATATATTGAGTGCCTACTACATGCCGGACGCTGAGCTGAGCCCCCAGTCAGTCTGTACCCTTGAAAGGATCCATCTCTGGATGAAAAACATGTTACTCAAAACAGAAATAGTAGTTGGGCATGGTGGCCCATGCCTGTAATCCCAGCACTCAGGAGGCTGAGGCAGGAGGATTACCACAGTTCGAAGCCAGCCTGGCCTACACAGTGAGTTCAAGGTCAGCCTGGGCTATATAGCTTCAAAAGACCCTGCTTCAAAAACAAAAACAAAAAAAACAAACAAAAAATTGAAATAGTTCATAAACTTCACAGTGGAGGAATACAGAAGGTCCTAGGAGAACACAGAGAATGGGCAGCTAACTTGGGCTACAGGTGGTGCCTGTGGAAGCTTTCACGTCCAGACTGCTCTGCACAGTGACTCAGGCTCAGAAAGGCCACCAATGAAAGTGGGTCTGCTTGGCCGGGGACTGAGCTCAGTGGCATCATGCCTGCCTCTTAGGCACAAGGTCCCGAGTCCAATTCCTGGTACTGAAAAAAAAAAGCTATAACAAAATACAAAAGAAAGAAAGTGGGTCTGCTGGTGGAGAACAGGTGTCTCATGTCGTTTTGTACCTAATGTACTTCCAGTTGTCCCATTACATTATCCTCTTTTAAGTTTTTTATTATAGATAAAGAACTTGAAAATAATGACCGTACATTAAAATGATCTATTTTTAAAGCCACAGATGTAGGGCTCTTCTTTCTCTTTTTAATAATGAGATAGCTTAGCTTGAATTATAGTATTTTGCTATCAAAGATATTATTTTCTAAATCAGTTGAAGCAAACAAATTTAGAAACTTCTAATTCTAGGCCAGAAATGAGCTAAAATTTATTAAGTACCCAGTGTATGGCAGTCATTGTCTTATGGGTACCTATCTTATGGATATTATTAAAGATAAAAAATTCTGGTACCAGTCATGTAAAACATTTGCATGTTTGGCCAAAGTTATATGTGAAAAGCTTAATGTAAATGTTGCACTGTAATAACAGTTAGCACTTCTCAACTTAGCATCACCTCAAAAAAGGCCTATTTATACCACACATGTTTGGTATGTTGCCAGATAGGCATTATTTGTAATTAGTAGTGAGGTTACCGTGCCCACTAATTATTTGGTGGGTCTGATTTATAATTATAAAATATAAGCATTCAAAATAAAAGCAAACTTATGAAGTTACAAAGTATTAATTTTGAGAAAGGGCATAGAATTTAGACAGAATCATAACTGATTTTTTTTCCCTAACTGTTCTACTCTATCATGCCACTAGCCTAGTTCTATCCTTAATTCTTTTTTTGGCGGGGGGTGGTTTGGTACTGGGGAACGAACTCGGGACTTTGCACTTGCGAGGCAGGTGCCGGAACCATTGAGCTAGATCTCCGGCCCTCTATCCTTAATTCTTGAAGTCTGTTATTATGGTTGTAGTTTAAGCATGTTTCCTTGGAGTGAATTTTCTGTGACTTGCTTAATCCAGGGGAGACATTCGTCTTACCTATTCCCATAGCATCCTGGGCTGCCTCAGTTACCCAAATCCTACTCTTACAATTGTCTTGTCTGCCACTCATCTGCCCATCCTCCTGACATGTGGAAGCTCTATAAGGGACGACTATTCTGACAGCTGTTATATCCTCAAGGTTTAGCCTGGCCCTTGGTAAATATTTGTTGGATGACTATATTCTCCTAATCTTTACACCCACATAACACATTTTTTTTTATTAAACCATAGTGTTTTCTAGTAGCTAGTTTAAACATCTTTTTCCATCATTGATTATTTGCTGCCTACAACATGATTTTTATTGGCTGCAGAGTATTTTGTTTTGAATCTATATCATGATTTGGTAACAAATGTTGCTTTGTTGTACATCTGGTCCTTTCCAACTTTTCATAGTCCAGAACAATGTTTGATTAGGATTACTCCATGCAGCTCTTTGTATATTGCCACAACCATTACTGGGAGGCAGCATAGTTGTGTGGTTAAGGACATGAGCTTTAGCAATAGAATGACTGGGTTCAAGTTCTATCTCTATCACTTAATCACCTGTGTGATGTTGGGATTTTCTTAACTTTTCTATGCTTTAGGTCTTTTATCTGTTAAGTAAAATCTTGGACTTCAAAGGATTCTGTAAGAATAACATCCTTGAGCCCAGGCTTCTTGTGAAGAATAAACTCATTATCACATGAGAGGCATTAGGACCGTAACTAGCAGGTAGTAAATAGTAAGAGTAAGCCACGCAAGGCTATCTCACAAGGCTCTGCCAGGAGGAATGCCTTCCAACTGGTGAACTTCCTCAAGTCCAACACAAATGGCACCATTTCTGCTGAGGCTGCCCTGACCTCCCATTTCTCCATCCCCAGCATCACCTTCTCTGTGCTAAACTATACCTTATCAGAACATGGATCAGGATCAATATAATTTCCTAATATTTGTTTTCATAAATGTCTTCCTCCCCGAGGAAGGACCATGTGCTGTATTCACCTTATCATTCTTACAATCTAGCATGATGGCTGGCACATTTGACATTTAATAAATGCTTCTCAGATGAACAAATTTATTCCCATTGCATGATTTTTAATTTTATAGCATATTTTTAAACACAGCTACTCACTATTGTAAGCCCTGCATGCTATACTATAGAAAAGATACTAAAATGGAGATGACTGGCAGCTACAAACTAAGGGTAGTCTCTATGACTCTATGGGTTTAAGTACCTGTTTTTAAGGTTTATTTCAATACTTCTTATCCTAGTAGGGTTGGGCTTCATCATGTTCTTATTATCTTAAAGATAATTCTGCCCAGCCATATTGAAAAATTGCCTATTGAGGAAACAGACTCTACTTGCTTTCTAATTCTCAAAAACCTTTAAAAAATATTATTCATGTGAAAGATTGTGAAAATCTTTACAAATTTTTTTCTGTTAAAGCCTGAGTTAAGAATAGTACACAAATAGCTGATAACAGAAAAGGGTAGAAATAGTTCTGTGGGATGTTGTAGAAGGCTTGGGTTTATTCAGCAGTCACTAACTGTATAGTGAGTAACCGTAGTAGTGTGGCATAATACGTACTTAAAACTGTAGGCCAACTGAAAGCATTATACTCTTCAAGTCTAGTGTTACTTTTATCTCTCACTTTTAAAAATAAAATAGGCTACTTGTAGGGAAATAAGCCTGTACTCCTGAGAGCATTTAAGCTGACGCTGGATACCTTAGGTACTTGAAGACTTTGTTTTTGTTTTGTTAGAGAGACTCGCTATGTAGTTCAGGTTGGCCTTGAACTCATTCATTATGTAGCACACAAGTGGCGCTGAACTCAGTGATCCTCCTGCCTTAGCCCCCCAAATGCTGGGATTACAGGCATTGTACCACCATGCCCAGCTACTTGAAGGCATTTCTTCACTGAAATCTAGACAATGTAACAGGGAAAGTCTCTTCTTCTGAAGGCAAAGATTCTATATGAATCTATTAAACACAAACCTGGAAAAAAAAATGCCTTTGCACCTAACCCCTTGTTCTTTTATTTAAATTTGGCTATTTTTCTAATAAAAAGGCCTTTCTCATCTCTGTTGATTTATCTATAAATATCTTTAATTACTATTGCTATAAATATGGCTGGAGGAATACTTATATAGAGGTCTTAGTTAAATGGATGTACTAAATACAGGTATCTTCAAGAAAAAAATGGGGCCAGGGATTTAGCTCAGTGGTTCTGCTGCCTGCCTCACAAGCTCAAGGACCTGAGTTCAATCCCCGGTACCAAAAAAAAAAAAGAAAGAAAAAAATGTGTATACTACATTTACATGGTACATATATACATACATAGTACATTTTTCTACATGAGATATAGATATGAGAGTTAAAACTCTTCAAGAAAGACTGTACTCATTAGGGCATAATGCATATTAATGCATTTAAAACCCCAATACTATCATTTTAGGGCTCACCCTTACTCTTCACTGTATGTAATAAATCTACCCAGAATGAACAATAAGTATCTTAAAATTTAATTATGGGTATGAACCTAGCAAAACTGGGATATCTTATACAAATCTTGTCCATAAAGTTATAGTTAAGAATCTGATATGTTAATGCATTTCCTCCTCAAAATTTTCCCCAGCTCCCAATACAGTACCTTATATTTTTGTACTTCTTGCCAAAAGAGTACCCCATTTCCCAATAAATCTCCTTTTAGAGTCACAAAATGTTGAAACTGTTTTGCAGTAACTGGATTCAATAATGCTTTACGAAAAGTAATAATTTCACATGATGAAGATATCCACTTACTCTCCACAGGCTGTCCAAAACAGAGAATACACAAAATCAGCTATGGTTTAAAATATAAAAATAAAGTCACTAGTTAGGTTAAAATTACCAACTTCTATTTCCTTTCATTTTGGCTGTTGAAATTTGTGGCATGAGTACAATAGCATTTGGCAACTTTTCACTCTCTGTTCCTCTCCTTTTATCTCCCTTATATTTTTATGGCATCATTTTTTAAAGAAGTACAGAAAAAAGAAAGAACTGACTGGATGATTTAGAACACATGACTACATTGTTTATGAATGTTAACAGTCATTACAGTTTTGTGACCATGGTGAAAAAGCACTTTTTAGTACATAGTATGAGTTCTGTGCTAAAGCGGAACAAAGTAATCATAATGTTATGATTATCATTACCTTACTATTTATTTTATTATTACATAATTCTCTTGTGTTGTAAAAAGTGAAAGCAGTTGAATAATCAAGAAAGTTTTTCATTTTTTAGGAAAAAGTATCAATTAATTCTAATTTAAATTTAAAATTTACTGTAGAGCTTTGTCAAAATCCTATCCTGAAGAGATCATGTGTTTAGGTAAGACATTTTTATATTATTTAATAATAAATTATGATTAATAATGATAATAAACAATCATTTTAATAATAAAATTCCTCTGATTGATTATTTACATAACATAAAATCTAGAAGTACCCATGGTGTTTTAGTAATGCTGAAGGGTATTTTTATCTACACTTATTTTATATCTTTGTAATTTTGAAGTGTTTCATTTTTTTTTACTTTGATCATTTAAAATCACATATCCAATCCCTTTTATTCTCTCAGATTCAAAAAAACATAAGAAATAGGTTTTACTGAATTTATCAAATAGATTTCAATTTTTTTGAAGTTATCCAAATTGATTTCAGCATACAAGCATACAAAGAAGCATCCTTCCAAAGGCAACGTTTTAGATGGGCTTACAAATTATGTTAATGATTAAATTACATGAAAAATATCCATTACTGACAATGCGTAAAATAAATTCCTTGAAACAAATCACATGTGACCATCAATGCACGTGTTTAGGAGTTATGTAAAAAGTGCTACGGAACAGAAAGGAAAGAGTAACTAATTCTGCCCGGAAAGGCGAGCCTTTTACAGGAGGGCCCTGAGGACCCTGTCTGAGTTGGCGCTGAGAATGGAAGGCAACTCCGGGCCGTCTGGATGAGTGTGGTGCCATTACTCAGATAAAGTGCACAGATGTGTATCACCATTTCAGTGAAGCACATGCCATGTTCTCTAGACAAAAACTTAAGACCCTCAGCATCTGGTCCTTATTAAAATTATAGCCCTATAAATAGGAACAACTATGGATTAGACTGGGATGTTTATTTAAAATCCACTCAACAAATAATGTTTTAAGACCTGGTTCTTAAGATACTAAAACTTAGTAATTTAACTAAAACCTGTAATTTAACTAAATAGAAAATAATATAATATATAATGTACAATGATATAAAATATAAGCTCATTCTACTAGTATTTTAACAAAAAGATAGTAAAAATCAAACGTTAAAGAAAAGATTATTTCTTTTCAAGAGGAAAATACAGAAAAGAGCATTCTAACAGATACATGGATTCCTCTAACACTCAAATTAACTTTTAGTTTTGTTTTGTTGTTTTGAGATAAGATCTTGCTATGTTGTCCAGGGTAGCCTCGAACTCACAGTGATCCTCCTGCCTCATCTTCCTGAGTGCACGTGTGTGCCGTGACACCCAACTCAAATAAACTTTTATCTTTGTCAGTTTTCAGTGAGTCACCTATGTCCAGTTTGACATCCTACCATGACTTGAAGGAGAATAAATACACATCAACTTATAGGCTCAAAAAGAAGACTACGTTCATCCTGCTTGTTAAGAAACAAAATAGGTAATTACTGTACTAGTGAGGTAAAGGTATCTTATTATAGTGACTTTAATAATTACCAAAATTATAGTTACTGTAATTCTTTTAAAGCTAAACTGCAATTCTAAATAAATGTAAGATGATTTAACTTGCTTATTCTACCTCATACTACTCATTGTTTTTAAGTAATCCACTGTCACTAATAAGTAAACCACTATATGCTGGAAAGGACAGCTGGTCTCCATAAATCCACCATAAGCCAAATTTAAAAAAATATTTTTTTGTGGTACTGGAAATCAGACTTAGGGCCTCATGCAGAAAATACGATATATCTATGTCTATATCTATATCTATATATTTTTTTGTGGTGCTGGAAATCAGACTTAGGGCCTCATGCAGAAAATACGATATATCTATGTCTATATCTATATCTATATATTTTTTTGTGGTGCTGGGGATCAAATTCAAGACCTTGCCAGGCAGGCATGGTGCCACTGAGCTCCATCCCTGGCCTCTATATCTACTACAGTAGATAATGATTATATTCAGTGTAGGGGATTGGTACATGTACATTTCAATTCCTTTCTCCTCCCCATTCACCCCCTTTCATTTTTCCAGCATGAGATTCATTTATTTATCTTATGAGAACTTATAAAGCTAATTATCTTATATACAGATTGAAAACCAGACTAATAGGCCAAAGAACATATAAAACATGTAAGACAATTGTACTAAGTCAAGATACTTTTAGATACATTGTAGATACATTTTAGATACATTGTCCACACTTTTTTCTTATAAGAGAAACTATGCAATATTTAAGCTTGTGTGTCTGCATTACTTCTCTTAACATTATGGTCTCAAAGTGTATTCATTTTCCTACAAATGATGCTAATTTATCCTTTTTAATGGCAGAGTAGTCCTCTATGGTGTACAAATACATTTTTTTTTGAAATGTAATTTTTTTTAAACCTTAATTTTTGGTCAGCATAAATTTCCTTTATTTTTGCATTTATGGTGGGATTTTGTTTTGAGGTTTTCCTTATCAAGTGAGTATAAAGTTTTCAAGTCATTTAAGATGAAAATGGACATGTGGAAATTAACTTAAAATTAATTTTCTTCTTCTGTAAAGTCTACCTCTTCACCTTTATCATCTTCTGCATGTTGATCCTTTCTCAATTGACAGGTAGATACCTGTCCTGTTCCAGATACACCCTTAGCTGACAGTGATCTCTGAAGAGGTGACTTTGAATTCGCTTTTACAAAATCTAAACGAGATGGATAATCTAGTGGATACAGAGAATTTCAGAAAACCTCTAAATCTTCATCCTCACCGATCTTTTGTATATTTTGGTAGGCAGCAGTGTAGACCTCTAAAGCTTTGCCATGAAATAACATTTCGATTGTGATAAATTCTGAAAATATATTCTTGATATCCTTTATTTCCTGCTTTTCGAAATTGTCAATAGTTTCCTCCAGATGACAAGTTGTTCGGGTAATATCTGTTGAAGCTATGTGTAATTTGGCTTCTGCCTGTGAAATTACCTGTCGATCAGATGGGTTTCGTTGCCGGGTTCTTTCTAATTGAGTTAACTGCTTAGCTTCTCTATTCCTTGCTGTTAACGCTGCTTTGAGATCATCCCGTTTCAGTTTTACAATTGCTCCATAAGCTTTCAAGGGTTCAACCACTTTGGCTTCAAGTCTTTCAACCTCTGCTTGTTGATAATCCTGAAGTTTGGCAAACTCATCAGCGAAAATTTTCAGGTCTTGCTTTAAATCTGGGCTCTCTGTAGAGGTATACATGTTAATTTCATTCACCAGGAGGTCTGCTTTGTCTCGCAGTCTGGCAGTTTTCCGCACATAAGCAGCAAAGATTTGGCACGGCTCCCCAAAATGCTTCTCCACATTTGTGACAGCATCTTGCAGTTGTCTGGTTTGAGCGTCCCGGCTTTCCAGGGTGTGCCTTAACATCTTGCTGCGCAAACGGCCAGGAGCCAGGGGCTGGAGCCCAAGGACTGGGGCTCCCAGGCGCCGATGTGCGCTGGGCGCGAGCCACACCTACCATATTTTTTTTTAATCCATTCATCTGTTGATGGACATATAGGCTGTTTACAAGATATAGTTATTATGAACTGTGCCGCTATAAACATCGGTATGCATATATTGCTTTGGTATGATGTCTTTAACTTTTTTTGAGAAAATACCTGAAAGGAGAACACCTGGGTCCAACAGAATTTCTACTCTTAGTTTTTTGAGGAATAACCATACTGATTTCCATAGCGGTTGTGTCAGTTTACAGTCTTTTCAACAATGGAGAAGTGTTCCTTTCTCACTACAGCCTTGTCAGCATTTGTTATTGGTTGCTTTCTTGAGAGTAGGTATTCTTTCTGGAGTGAGATGGAATCTTAGTGTTGTTTTCATTTGCATTTCTCAAATGGTCAGTGATGTTGAACATGTTTTCTTGTATTTATAACCTTTTGTATTTCTTCATCTAAGAAGTATCTACTCGTTTCAGATGCGCATTTTTCTTTTTTATTATTTTTATTCGTACATTTTAGGTATACAATATAATGACATTCATCATTTGAAATTTGCACTTTTACATAATCTCTCTTGGTTCTTGTTTTTTCTCCCTTCCCCTGCCTTCCCTTCACCCCCTCCATCCCTCCCCATTTACAAAGACTTTGTTTCCATTTTTTCATTTTCTCATATTAATTCCATTCCCTTCTTTCCTTTCCCCCACCCCTCCCTCTTCCTCTTTGCCTCTTTTTTTCCTATTTCACATTATCAGATGCCCATTTTTAATTGGGTCTTTTAATTTTGGGGGTCTACGTTTTTTGAATTCTTTATATACCTTGGTTTTAGTCTTTTGTCTGAGCCTCTGCATAGCAAAAGAAAAACACTAACAGAGTGAAGAGACACTTGACAGAATGGGGAAAATATGGTATACACTTGAAGGCCAATTACACACTTCTAAGGTTGAACAGGTCAAGAAATTCTTTAAGTTAAGAGCCATACTTTCCCCATCTGCAAGAAAGCACAGTACCAGTCAGTTGATCTATAGCGATGGTCACAGGACAAGAAAGGGAAGAAGCAGTACTTTGAGTGGAACTTACAAGCGGAAGAATATAACAGTTACTTGCCTTCCAGACTCCGATTTTCCCTTCATGCTTCTGTAGTAAAAGGTCACCTGCTATGTCTTTCATCTGTACCTAAAAGCAAAACCAGTCATTTTATCCTATTATTTATACTGTCTAAAGTTTTTTTAAAGTCTCCATTTATTTTTTTTATTTTTTTTCTAAATTTAATTTTCTGTCCAAAGTTTTGAAATCATTTACTAATGTAATAGCTTAGAAACCGAGGTAAAAGTGAGGCTGGGTAAGAGACAGTGCTGGGCAGGAAGCAGAAGACAGGACCGAGAAGTGGAGGCCCTGCAGTTACGGTTCTGGAGGTCACACATTCTTGGAACACAACTTCCTCACCCGCAAATATAGACAACATCTGATCACATTGGCCTGAATGTGGATGACATTTTCACTTAGACTCACACAGGAACTGACTGAGCTAGAGAGGTAACTATGGATTCTCGGAGTTTTGCACTATTTTCTAGCCATATACTTTTCTCTCTCTTTTTTTTTTTTTTGTACCGGATATGGAACTCGGGTCCTTCCACTTGTGAGGCAGGCGGCGGAACCACTGAGCTAAATCCCCGGCCCCAGCCATATACTTTTCTGCAACTAATTTTTTTCTGGTACCGAACTGAGAACCTGGCATTTGCAAGGCCGGTGCAGTGGTGCCACTGAGCTAAATCCCTGGCTCATGCAACTAATTTTAGAAGCATCCAAAGCTTATTGTCAACATCTAGAGAAATACAGTAGATAGTCTTTCCTCTGTATCTCTGGGCTCAACCAAACTTGAATGGGAAATATCTGGGGAGAAAAACCTGTGTCTACTGAACATGTACAGACTTTTATCTTTATTCCCTAAACAATACAGTATAACAACAATTACAAAGCATTTGCATTGCTTTACGATTTTACAAATAACCTAGAGATGATTTTAAAGTATATCAGAGGATATGTGAAGTACATGGGAGGATATATTTATATGCAAACATGATGTCATTTTAAATGAGGGACTTGAACATTCAGAGTTTTGATATATCTGTCCTTCATGGATGCTCAGAAGGAACTACTTCTTGGGGTTACTGCCTATAGATAATATTTTCCCTTTCTGGGAACTGCTCATGCCAATATGCTATGCGTCTCTATCCCCCTGCCCACAGCAGATTGATCCAGAAGCTGATCTAGAGAGTCAAGGACCAGGACCACTGGGGCTGGGTCTTTATTTTTTCCCTTTTCTTGCAGTGCTGGGATTTGAACCCAATCTCCGCATATCCTAGGAAAGCCCTCAACCACTGAGCTACATTCCTAGAACGGAGCCATTTGATAGCCACAGCCCAGAGGAAAAAATCTGAGTTTTTGCTGGGTTTCCAGGTCTGTTCTGGGCTACATCTTTTCTAAAGATTGGGTGTCAACTCTTCCCCTAAATGCATGAGATTTTGTAATAAATTCTCACCCTCTCCTTTTTTTGTTTGACTTAAGGTTGTTGCCAGAATCAGTTTAGTTTGCTGACCACCCAAAGAATGCTAAATCAGGAAATGACTACAAGTTACAAAAAAATTACTGTGGTAAATATAATGAGAAAATGTGGTAAATAATATTAGCAAGCCAAATGTCCTTTATTTAGCTTTGGAAAGAGCACTGGAGTTTCCCTGCAGAAAGAGAATGAAGAGATGTGAATTTTTCCAAAACTTATTTCTGGGAACTTTCTGCCTAAAATGAGTCGGGCTCTTCTCCATACTATAAATTCTGTGTTCCCAGCTGTTGCTCAGCTCAAATGACTAAGGATATTTCCAGATACACAGTCCTCAAAGTGTCTCATAAATTCAAGACAATGTAGAGGGAAACTTTTTCAGGTTCTTCCCAAGCAGTATTAATGGCATAGAATATCATTTCATTTCTTACACTTTTATTATTTTTGTAAAGATTAGAATTGACTGTTTTTAGGTATGATAATGATATTTTAAATGATTGAAATAATACTTGCTTCATATAAAATTAAAACAAATCAAGAACAAGAACCCACTTTATAAAGTAAGAAGTAAAAATCCTTCCCAATCCCCACACCAATTTCCAGGAAGCAGAACCTTTTAGACTTTTTTCCCAAGCACGAATGAAATGATAGCTAGATGGATGAATGGGTGAATATAGATGAAAATGCATAGACATGAATACATGGACAAAGAGAAGTAGATAAAATGAGATTGTCTTCTATATATTGTTTTGCATCCTGCTTGTTTTACTCAATAAATAACATCTTTCATATGTGTGGAAATCTCATTTATATAATCTCATGTTATATGGAAATCTGTGTAATGTTCCATAGTGGAATTGTTGTAACTCACTTAACAATTCCCCCATAGGACATTACAATGAATATCCTGGTATAGCCTTGCCTGTTTGTGTAAGGACTTAATAATATTAAAAAAAACAACTATGTTGATAGATAACATGTGTTTGCTGTATGCTAGGCACCATTTGAGAAACTAAACACACACTAATTTCATTTCATTTTCACAATAATCTTATGAAGCAATTTCTATTATTAGCTAAGATTTTTCAAATGAGGAGACTAAATTTATGAGGTTTAAAAGTGGTACAATTAATATGTGGTACTGTTGACATCAAAATTTGGGAAGTCTGACTCCATGCTTTTAACCATTACCTACAGAGGTACAATGGCTGAGTCAACAGTCGCATGAGGCTGCTGGTACACACTTGAGGTTTTGATAAGTACTGCCAATTTCCATCCAGAAATGACACTGATTTATATACCTTTATCTTTTGTCGGGCTGCAAACTGTTCACTTGCAAGAAACAATGGCAACCACACATTTTCCAGCCTATTTAAGACATGCTTCTGAATTTCAATTAAAACAGGTGCGTCAAGCTGCTCATGGAGAATCTTTCCCCAACCACCACTTAACTCCACTACCTAAGAAAATAAAAATGAGACAGTAACTAAAAATTTTTGTTTGCTAAAGAAACACTAACAGTCATCCATTCATTCCTGAAAGTGCCGCACTTTTCATTTTTTGCAATGTGGCCATATTATATACAAGAATGACAAACAACTCTCCTAACATCAAAAGAGAATTGTAGTTTACATGGTGGTTGTTTTATATGTACAATTTTTTTTCTATGAAATATTTTTTTAAAAAACCACAAACACAGGAGTGGATTTTTTCCCCTGGCGCTGGGGGTTAAGCCCAGGGCCTCAGGCACATGAGGCTCACACCCTTCCAGGGAGTTACAGCCCCTAGCCCCAGCCCCAGGGCTGAGAACGTTATCCAGTGTGACCAGAGGCAAAGGCACTGTTTTCTTCCACTGAATCAGCACCTTCAACTATAAAATGTGGATATTAATCTATTAGTTTTCCAAGTTCTTCTAAGAAAGCATTTTTTATGGGTGAGGAAAATGAAGTATTAATTAGTTAAGGAACAACCTTGATGCAGATATTATAAATATATATGTTACTGACAAATGTGGGGTTGGGAATGGCAGGATGACAACAGTGGTAGTGATGTAGGACTACTCCTGATGATTTCTTTTTCTTTTTTTCTTTCTTTCATTTATTTATTTTTTTGGTACCGCGGATCGAACTCAGGACCTTGAACTTGCCAGGCAGATGCAGTGCCACTGAGCTACATCCCCAGCCCTACTCCTGATAATTTCTAAGAAGAAAACAGAGGCAGCAAGAAGTAGATGAGAGTTCTATTTTTCAAATAATAGTTAGACTTTTACAGGTGGTATCATTTAAAAACACAATTTCTTGGGCTGGGGATTTAGTTCAGTGGTTTTGCTGCCTGCTGTGCAAGCGCAAGGACCTGAGTTCGATCCCCGGTACCAAAAAAACCAAAACCAAAACAACAAAAAACTGCAATTTCTTTGTGGCCCAAATCTTCTTTCTGCATACTCATTGGCCTCGATAAGCTTCTGGTAGCTATTTCCTGCTGTAGATTATTGTTTTCGAGCTGTTTCGGTGTGTATATTGCTCAAAATTTCTGGATTTCTCACTAGAACAGCTACCCTCTTTATATAGTTCTCCTTTGATTAACAATATTAATAAAATGCTGCTAATAATAATATTGTTTCATGTAAAAACAAAAGACAAACTCCTTTTTAGTCCTCTTTAAATAGAATTTATCAAATAATAATCCAAAAGTAATATTGCTTTTGCATAAAAAACTGCCTTGCTAATCAAAGCTCAAACTGGCTACACAACTAAAATGAGGACGAGCGTGATCTTTATGAACTTGATGTGACATGGACATGCTCAAGTATAAAATAAGTAAATAAAGGAGGAGTGATGGAGAGGAAGAAGGCTCATTGAGAAAGCTCTGTGTGAAGCACAACCATTTGCTATGACAGCAATGTGACATTTAAACCCTCAGTGTGTTGTACATACTACAGAGGGTTCATACAGTAGCATCAGATACCATGAAACTTCACACAATGGAGCACAAGCCAAATACAAAACAAATGCTTTCCATGTGCTTATTCATACTTGTGCTTATTGAGATAGCCAACGACTTTTGCTAATGTGTCCCAGATTTGTATCTTGGGGAACTAACAGCAAAGCATTTTTGTCAAAGTTGCTTAATTTTACCATTTCTTCTCCCTCTTGCTCCCAAAAATTCTTGTTTATTCCACTCCCACCAAAGATATAGCTTATTAATTTGGTTTGCTCTACACATGAATGTCTCCGAATTTTTCTTTAATTTTCTGAATTTAGTATTAATATGAAATTTGTGTTTTATAAATGTATACCAATAGACTATATATCCTTTTAAGCTCCTAAAATAAAAAGAAATAATTTGATCTTTATGTAGTACTGTAGAACTAAAAAACTTCAAACTAAATAAATTATAATGCTTAACTATTTGTATTTCAAAAGCATAAAAATTAAGACACACTTCATGAGATAAAAGTGTTACATGAACACTCAAACTCATAGCTGAATCCCACTCTGATTTTTTTTTTCTGTAAATCTAATGACACTACTACTACTAACAAGTTGTGGTTAAGGCCATAGGACTTTGATACAACAAAAAGGTCAAACCTATGTTCCTAGTCAATGAAAATAGATTCTGGGGACAATAAAATTGTAAACAGAATTTTCAAAGATGGATTATATTTGGAATAATAACAGCTAAGAGCAGAAGAGAAAGAGATGGAGATTAGGCTTAATGGTTGATAATAACTGCTTTCCTACTTGTTCAAAGGTGCAGGGACCTTGTCCTCCCTGTTCACTACTTTGCTCTGAGTACCTGGAACAATGTCTGGCATATCAGAGGCACTCATATTTGTAGAATGAATAAATAACTCAAGTATAGGAGGTACAAAGCTGTGATTCTACCCTCAAATTTCTAAGCATTATCCACAACACAGACCTAGAAGAATAAAAGTTATGTTAAAGTAACTTTTCTGGGGTTTTTTTTGTTTTGTTTTGAGACAGGATCTCACTGTGCAGTTCAGGCTGGTCTTGAATTCACTGTGCAACCCAGGCTGGCCTCAAACTTGCTTCTATCCTCCTGCCTCAGCTTCTCAAGTGTTGAGATTACAAGCGTATGCTACCACACCTGGCTAATGTATTTTTAAAAATAATATGTAATACTTGAAAACCTTTTAAAACCATTTAATTTATAGATACTTGTGAACACTCAAATATCAAAAATGTCTAGCATATAAATCATAACAGCAAAAGGAAAAGAAGACTTTGAAGTTGTTGGCAAAAAGAAATAAATGATTGATTTTCACACTTCAAAATAGAAAATAGGTTTATATGTTGATACCTCATTCTGTTGATTCAGAGAAGCTGGACTGTTGGGTCCGAAGAAATATTTTTTATTAAGGTATTTGTTTTTAATATATATAGATTTTGCCTCCCTTTGATTTCGATCTCTGTAATTTATTCTTCGGAACTGCTCAATGTCTGTCCAGCACATAAGGTCCATGCTAAAATAAAAACAAAGAAAAAGTATAGACTTCTTATTTATTTCTCTAAATTCTATGAAACATCAAAAAGCTTTTGTTTTGACAGGACTTAGAAAGTGACCGTCTTGACTAGTTAGTGCAACAGATGAAACCACAGAACTACTGAGTACAGTGTTGCCGCTGCACCTTCCCTGGGCCACTTAGCTTGACTCTACTACACCCTCATCTTTTTTTCTTCATTAGTTATGGACTAGTATCATAAATTTCAAATACAAGGAAATTTCCACATGTGGCATATCCATTTGACAACAGCCCAAATTTAGACAATTCTTATTACAATGAAAGGAAACAAACTGAAATTCGGCTTCCAGTTCTAACTAGTTTCTGCTAACTTGAGAGAAAAAAAATACAATCAGCACTTCAGTTTATGCACACCAACAAAGAGTAATGCATACAGATCTCAGATGATTATGTTCATTAGGTTTTACCAACATAGGTAAAAAATATAGCAGCAAATCACTTTTATGATATGTTAAATCAAAACTAACAGCCTAGAAAAATGATGCTTTAAGGAAGAAATATTTAAAAATGGCTATGTTCCTTACCTTGAGGAATGCGCCCCAAGAAACTGACAGAAATGTTCAAACTCCAGTTTGTTGTTAAGCAGATCATTAAAACTAAAATGCTTATATTCTTCAGGAACATTATTCCAATATTCTGTTTGTTTAGAGACATCAGAGAGTGATAAAATACCAGTTCCAATTTGACCAGTGGCATCCTAATGACATAATACTTTTTAGAAAAGTTTCTTAAATGCAACAAATTATTTATAATTTTAAATAGAGAGACTGAAAGAAAAATCAACATTAAGCCAAAGCTGTTTAACCATTCAGTGATAGAACTGGATAAAGAATGTAAGTGATTCAGGCTCCAACTCCCATCAAATTCTGTTCTGTTTCTTTCCATTCCATCACTTTCTTTTTATGGGCACTTAGTAAACATGTACTATGTACAAAGCAATTGTTTAAAAAATATTAATTGTATTAATTTCTTAGTATAGAAGTAATATGTCTTTTGTGAGAAAAATAAAAATCATATATAATAGTACTGTCGAGACATAACCACCATTAATATGTTTATATACATCCTTACAGTCTTTTTTATATATAAACATGTAGTTGATTACAAATGAAGATAGGATTATACCCCTACATATGGTTTTGTAACCTTGTTCTTTTTCTTCACAATACATAATGAACATAAAACATTCTTCTTTAACAACTTTTAAAAGTTAATTACGATATTGATAGTAATCTCCATATAAGTTAATTTTAAGATCTCTGATGTGATAGTTCATAAGCCTTAAATGGCAAAACGGTACAAAGAGGCTTATACTTTGAAACGCTCTTCATCATATAATTTCTTATAAAATTCATCTCTCTATTTGTTTATAAACAGTGTATGACCAAGAGATAAACTACCAATATTTAAAAAAATTAATTTTCCTTTTGTAGAAGTATTATGGAGAGTTAAAAAAAAAGCATTCAATCTAAAAAAAAAAATCTCTTTTTTCTTTCTTTCTTTCCTTTTCTTCTGTTATTTCTGTTTTTTGAGACAGGGTCTTACTATATAGTTCATGCTTGGTTTGAATACACTATGTTGCCCAGGCTGGCCTTGAACTCACAGCAATCCTCCTGCCTCAGCCTCCCAAGTGCTGGGTTTACAGGCATGCACCACCACAACTGGCTGAGTGTTATAAATTTTAGTTTCTAAAGTTTAAAATACAATCTTATAATTTACTTCCTTTTTTGATTTTTATGTATTCTCTCCAAGAAAGTAGTATCTCAAGTAGAAAACTTCCATGTTAACAAAAGCAACTATCATGGTTACATTAAAAATGTTTTTGTCAAACTTTATCATACAAGAATAAAAATTTCAGACAAATATGAGGAAGAAAGTAAAAAGGAAATCAACCTAAACTTTAGCACTCAGAACTATCCTTAACATTTTGGCAAATGTCTCCAGATACAGTATCTCTTTTTGCATATATGTATAAATGTAGAAATACATTCATAATTTTACATAAACAGGATCAGACAATATCATTGTTTTTTCCATACATATTTATATAATAATATATCATAGACATTTTACAGGTTGTCTTTTATACAGATGCACACATTTAATTTTATGGTTTTATATAGCTATCACAGTTTAGTCATACAAGTTTTTTGACATACACACATACATAAATCAAAATAACATTTTTATATTCTAGTCAATCTAATGATCTTTCTACTGACTTCTCCAATTCTTTTCCATATTTTTAAATCGTTTCGTTTTTGCTGTCACATAAGTTTTTTTTTCTGTTTAGTAAAACTCAATTTAACTTTTGTGATCTGACAACAAGGAAAAAGAGTTGCTGCCAGACATAAAATAACTTACAATATTCAAAGCACTATAAAATGGCTTTAAGGCTCAAGTTTTTGGCCTTAGGTAAGTTGAACAAATGTCCTGGCTCCTTCTGCTACTTTATCTGCTTTGTTTTTCTGACTCTGTTGTTAAATGTGTCGATATAATGCAACACCTGTCAAATGCAGCATGCTAGGCAAAGGAATAGCAGGAAAATGACACTGCTTGCCCCCTATTCTATCAATATATGATCTCCTCAATATAAGGCTTCTTTGACACCAGTGTGAAAGTGGTAGCTCTCTCCAGCATAAAAAGTTTGTTTTTCTAAGTAGAAAATTGTCTTACCTCAGTTTTCTTGGGAAATGACTCTTTATACAAAGCCTGTAGCTTTCTGAGGCATGTGGAGTCTAGCTGCCTACTTTCTTCCACCTGTTCCACCTAAAATAATAATAACAAAACTTTTGACATCCATAGAATATGCATTATGAAAGAGTAATGAACAGGGTGCATAATTTGCCAATGTTAGTTTAAAAAACAAACACGATTGTCAAGAAAGAAAATTAGTTTGGAAGTGAAAACAGGAAGATCAAAATAGTTAATATTAGCTACAGCAAAGTCCCATCTCAAATGCATGTATTAAGAAATACAGACATTTCTACATAATGATACAGGGCCACTGATGATCACCCCTCCTTTTTGCCGCCTCATGTACACTAACAGTGTAAATATGTTGGTCATATTTCGAATTTCTATTCAACATAACATGAAGGCAGACACGACTAGCTTTAGGAACCAAATAATTGACAGTCAAACAAGAAATGACCAGACTCCATATTGTTATTAATCTATAAGAAAAGGCTTTCTTGCTGTAGCAAAAGAAGAGACAATCATCAAGTTAATCCTCACGAGCAGCTCTCAGTCTTCCAAACCTGTAAATCGCTGTTTTATATTGTCAAGAGATCATGGCGCTCTGTTTCTCTATTGCAGGGAAAGAACAGTTTGGCTGACTAGATGCTTAATAACTTTCTATGTTTAATATCTAGCTTTGGTAACCTGCTTAAGTATTCTTTTTGGGAAATAGTCTGTATTATACAGTCAGCTGGGGTTTTAGAGAAATCTCTGGGCTAAATTTAAGGAAGTTTTAAAAACTAAGAAAAAGAGATATATTTTTCCTCTGATTAAAAGAGAGTATAACCTGTCCTACACATTTTATAAGAATCACTGCTAAAGTCAAAACTTTTTGAGTTAGGAAAATTAGTTATGATTTCAATTTTTTTATCATCACAGAATACTGTACACTACATTTCTTCCATGCAATAAAGTATATACATGTATTTTTAAAATGGCTAAGAGATAAGATTTTAAAATTTCAGATACTACACTAATTTTCCTACTGTAATAAGTGGATTTATTTAGTAGAAAGGACTGTGTGCTAATTTTTCAGAAGAATGAAAAATCAAGAATGAAAATTTAATTATTTCAGCCTCCCTGAATTGAGTAAGCCATAGAATTGCTTCAGTCACAATCCAACAAGGTAATTCTGCCTGAGGTGTTTTGGTATTAGTTTTAATCACTCCATCTACTCTTCCTGATGGGACACATGACTGTCTAACATTTTTGAGGTAGATATGAGTAAGGAATACCCATACAAAGACAGCAGAGTTCCACCTGAGATGACCTCATGCACAGGGTACATGCATTAAGTTAATGTAAAAAATACCCAAGGATGGTTTTAATTTGTGATTTAAAATAAATATTTAAAGAAATTTCCTCCACTCATCAATAAGAATAATGAAAATATTCAAGCATCAAGGCTTAAAATGAGCTTTTTCGGAATGAAAAAAGATGTGTTGAAACTTTCATCCAATCAAGCAGTCTGACCTGATGAACATCTGGGGGTACTTTAAATAGAAGCACTGAAGTCAGAGGACCTTTCACAATACATACGAAATGTTTATATTTTCCATGGGTGTAATATTTACTGTAACTCATCCAGCGTAAAATGAACGGGCTTTTTCCATTAATCAAAATTAAGACCACTGCTGAGACATGGCAAGAAAGGACAAAGCCAGTGTATTATCATAGCATATTTTGTTAGTCCACAGAAAACCAAAACTCAGATTTCTCTCTTCTGACATATTTGCACAGAGAACTAAAAATGACACAGATTTAGGAGACAATAGGGAAATTGGCAAATATTAAGTTAATAAACATTTTCCCTGCCCAAGTTTTGAGCTTTCCCAAATCTTAACTCTAAATCCTTGGCTCATGTGAGACTTTGTTCAGCCCTTCGGTTCACACTATTCATCCGTGCCACAATACCTTTCTGTAAGCAAATTGGTCTGACTTTACCATCTTCATCCAGGGTTCCAGAAGGAGAAGAAGGATATATTCTTCTGCTGTGTCAAAAAGATCTTCAAATGGTGGATGTATTTTCATACAAATTTCTTTCTTCTTTTCCTGTTGGAGTCCAATGTCAAGTGTGGCTGACGGAGCAACATATGTGGCAAAAAGATACTGAGAGGAAGAGGAACGGAGAGGACGTTAGGAGAAAACAGAATGGTTAGCTGACTCCTCGGCAAAGACATTTAAGAAGAAAGAAGAGAAAGCAGACACACTCAAGTGGTTTTTCTTGAAAAGATGAGTAAAACCACTTACATCAAGGCAATGTGTTTATTCAAAAGACTTTTTTTTTCATTTTCTATCTCTTCACTGGTAATTAGCGATTAGCCAATTTTTCTCAGATGACAAAATTATGAGGATGTAGTAGGATTACTGATTGATTCAAAGTTATAACCCTCCTTTTCTTACTGATGTTCATAATATTTCTAAAACACTCGTGTTACTTTCCAAAGTGATTTGAAATGTCTTTTCTTTTCTTCTTCTTTTGTAATATCAGGCATTGAACCCAGAGCCTTGTACATACTAGGGAGATGCTCTGCCCCTGAGCTCTATTCCCCCGCCTGAACTGCCCTTTCAGAAACAACAGGCAAGAATACACTGGAACTGAAAACCTATTAGTTTTCTAACCTAGACACCAGAGTACCTGCCCTACATAGTTTAGTTGTCAAGTTCTAAGACTGTTTCTGATTATTCCTTTCTGCTATAAATCTCTGTCTGGTGTCCAGCACTCTGGAAGAGATACAGAAGGTGATTAAAGTACATGAGAAGATACATGCAGAACTTCCAAAAACCTGCAGAAGACTTATATTCCATTCTACACATTTGTCTTGTCTCTCAATAATAGTAACTTACATCCAGGAAACAATAACATTTTATTTTTAACTTTTTACATACTAGATATATGATACCAAGACCGTGGTCTTGATCATATTTAGACTCAACTCAGGAGATTGAGTGTGTGTATGCATGTATGTCTATATGTTTGTCTGTGTGTGTATATCTCCAATATCAAATAATTGGTTTTATTAAAATCAGACATTAAATAAGTCTTGTTTAAAATAACTTTTAAAACCAGGACGCACATATGTAAATACCAAATAGTTTCTCTAGTGTGAGAAACTGAAAGTGTAAATAAGGACTAAAAGGTATAATAGATAATGTGAAATAGGAAGAAAAGGGGCAAAGGGGAAGGGGAAGTGAGAGGGGTAGGGGAAAGGAAAGAAGGGAATGGAATTAATATGAGAAAATGGAAAAATGGAAACAAAGTCTTTGTAAATAGGGAGGGATGAAGGGGTTGAAGGGAGGGCAGGGGAAGGGGGAAAACTAAGAACCAAGAGATTATGTAAAGGTGCAAATTTCCAATGAAGAATGTCATTATACTGTATACTTAAAATGTACCAATAAAATAATATTTTTAAAAGTTTTAGAGTCTATGTTAATAACATAAGCATTTACTGAGGATCTAGCGTATCTTAGACATTTGGCTAAATGCTGTGTATGAAAAGATAAATGAATGAGAGCCTGCCCTGAAGGAGCCTGTTTGGTGGTGATGGGAAGATGGAAATCAATAATGCAGTATGGTACATGTTATCACAGGGCATGTTTTACAGATAAGATCTTCAATGACTGCCTGTGTAATCTTCTAAATTCATCTCTCAGTAATCTACTGTCAAACTTTACACTCAAATACCAAATTTTCTGTAATTTCCCTATGTCTCCTTGTTTTGCTATTACATACCATTGCATATAGTGTTCCTTCAATCTTAGAGATTTACCCTACCCTTCATGCTTAGTCTACTTGATAAATTATGATTTAAAAAAACAACATGGATTTTTCCTCCTCTCAGAAGCCTCCATTTTCCTCCCAAAGTCATATGTCCTACATCTGTCACACTATAATGGAGTTATGTACTTACGTGTTTTGTCTTAGGGTCTGAGGCCCTTGAAGACAAAGATTAAGACTCAGCCATCTGTGAATCTCCAACTGTTCTTGGCAGAGTAGTCCAGAGACGTTTACTGAATTGTACCAAAACCACAGAGAAGACTCATTTATGAATTGGAAGAGGAAAGGAAAGGTTCTAGAAACTCTTCAGGCAAAAAGTAATTTTTAACTCGAATCTTAAAAAATGCTGCCAGAGCCAAAGGAAGAGTTAATTTAAAGGTATTGACTGGTATAAGTAAACACTGTTAAGAATACACATACAAATACACATATACCCTTGTATATTAGAAGAGGTCAAGTGAAGCTAAAGAACCAAAAGAATTGAAGGTGCTGGTTAAAATGCAACTGAAAGAAGGAAGGAAAGCAAATGAGGACATAATCAGGGTAGTAATACAATACAATAATAAGCAGGATAGAGTATCAAAGAGCTAGATTAAAAGGAGGAAGGCCGTGAAGAATAGTTAAAAGAGAGTACTGTATTGTTTAGCATATAATGGGTGTTCAATAAATATTTGCTGATGGCTGGTCACAGTGGTACACACCCATAATCTCAGCTACTTGGGAGGCTGAGGCAGAAGAATGGCAAGTTCAAGGTCTCCCTGGGCAATTTGGCAAACTTCCTTTTCAATCAAAAAATAAATAAACGCAGGTCAGGGATTTAGCTCAGTGGTGCCCCCACCTGGCTCGAAAGGGCAAGGTCCAGAATTGGATTCCCCAGTACCGACCCCCCCAAACAACAACAACAACAACAACAAAACAAAACTTCTCCTGTTGCTTCATGAACTGTTGCTGCTCTGCCACTCTGGCTTGAAGCCAGCCAATTATGGACTGAAACCTCTATGAAATCACTATGGGAGGATCAGTGATAAGAGGTGGTGAAAGAGATGTGGATAACAACAACAAAAGTGGGCTACGTAGAATGACACCACTGTCGAGAAAAAAAGGCATTCTACAATCATATAAAACTTCAAAGGATCCCTGACTAGTGCAAACAAGGAAGAATGAAATATATGGATTTGCACTCACTGATTTCAAAACTCACTACAGAACTATAGTAATCAGAACTGTGTGGTATGGCCATAAACACAAACATAAAGACCAACAGCATCAAATGGAAAGCCCAAAAATAAACTTTCATATATATGGTCATTTTATTTTTGACAAGGGAGCCAAAATCATTCAAGAGAGAAAGAAGAGTCTTTTCAATAAATGGTCCTGCAAAAGAATAACACTGAATCATAACATAATGCTATATTTGAAAAGTAACTCAAAATGAATATAAGGTCTACAACTCTTAAGATCTAAAACTCTTAAGAGAAAATAGGGTAAAGGCTTCCTGACATTGGATTTAGCAGTGACTTTTTGGGTATATCACCAAAGGCACAGTTACAAAAAAAAAAAAGAAGCAATTAGACTTCATGAAATTAAAAAACAATCTTTATAGCTTGCTCTCCTAGAACATAAGGTAAGGTGACTATACTTTTGCCTTTCTACCTTCATCTATGAGAGGACACACTAACAGGCCCTTTCCAGATATTAGCACTTGGACCTTCTCAGCTTCCCGAATTGTGGGAGAATGAAATTCTGTTCTTCATAAATTGCCCAATCTGTAACGTTCTGTTATAGCAGCACAAATGGACAGTGTGATGGGATATCCCTCTTCATCACAAGAATGCTTCCATGCGCTACTCTCCTTGGCTGACAATAGAACCACTGCAATTTTCTTTTGAAAAACATTTAATAAATAAAAAAAATAAAAAGAACTGAGGATACAGTTTAGTGATACAGCGTCCCTGGGTGTCACTCCAGTACCACTTAAAAAGTGCTAAATGGATAAATGGGAAATTCGTGAAACAGATCTGAAAAAGGAGTTTCGGAGTTCAAGAATTTAAAGTTGAAAGAGATGCAAATTATGGAGGATTTCATTATATAGCCAACACCATAATTAACTGAAGAAAAGTACAGAGAGTTGGGTAAGCAGCCTATAAAAATTCAAGATGATAAAAAGAAGAAATTTCAGAGTTAGGTATTGAAATTTCTAGGAATAAAAAGAGAATTTAAAAAGGTCTTTAGATAATATTAATGAGTTTTGTGAGAGGAGGAAAACAGCAGATGGGGTAGATTTCAAAAATTTGAGGTAGTTAAAACACGAGACTTGAACAGCAGCAGAGAGCAGTCTTTCTTCCTGAGTACTGTGAAATATGGGGCGCACTTTGGAGACATGATGCCCTACTTAATTAGAGTTGTAATACTGAGTTTCTGTGTCTTGGAAAATTGGAAACTTCCTTCCCTAGAACATAAGTACATAATCTGCTGGCTTGAAGAATCCAAAGTGAACCATATTTTACCAAATGATTTTATAGTATTAAAAGTGAAATTTGCTTCACATATACAAATGTGCATACATACACACATGCACACACACACTCTGATTATGGCAAATTTTTCTAACCTTAGGAGTGATTTAGGAGAATGATTTGCATATTTACTAATCTAACTAGTAAATTTAGATGCAAGATAAGATTACATCAGATTCAAATCTATCCTTAAGCATTTTCTAAATTGCTAAGTTTTTCAAAGTGAATAAATTAAACTAATTTACTTAGGTAAATTAAGGAACTAAAAATGAAAATTATCAAGTTAACATTTAAAAACGTCTCTTAGGCTGGGGCTGTAGCTCAGTAGCAGAAGTGCTTTCTTAGCATGTGTGAGGCTCTGGGTTCAACCCCAGCAACACAAAAAATTAATCAGGCACCATCGAACTTCTCTTACTGTCTTACACGTTACATCAAGGACTGTGCTACACTCATATGAACATCCTTAATTCCTTCTCACCTTGGTCAAGGCTCAATTTGGGAACAGTATAATCATTCATTCATTTCTCCAACTCTATCAAGTTCCCAATAAAAACTTCAATGGTTAGTTCCATTATAAAAACAACAATCAAAAAACTCAAAATAAATCAATTAATAAAAATAAAAAATTAAAACCCCAGCTGTGATCAAAAAGATTGTTGCGGTTTTATTTGGAATATATCCATTTCCACCTAAGCACTGCCATCCTCTTCAAACCTCCCAGCTGTGCCTTTCTGCTGCTTCACTTTCAGAAGACTTTATCTCCCATTTCACCAGGAAACACCACTGGTATAAATGTCCTTGCCTTTCTTCTCAAG